ATTCATGGTGGGGTTGAGGCTGTATCCAAGTTTTTACTTTTATGAACATCATAATGCTAAAAGTTCTTGTTGGTAAATCTTTGCTCACTCTCTAGTTCCCCTGGGTAAAATTGTTTGTCAGGGGTTTGCATTGTCTTAAGTCATTTGCTTAACTTTGCCAAACCAGTCTCCAGAAGGATTTCAGGCACATACCTCATGAGGAGAGAGGCATATGCCTGTTTCCTCACACCTTCACGACACTGTATAGCACTATCCTTTCATATCTATGCCAAACTGTGAGGTGAGGAACTCTTCATCAGCATCAAGGCCAGTTTTGTGAACTTTTTTTAGGAAGCCTGCATTCACTCCTCCCTCTGACCAGGTAGTCTCTGCTTAGGCTGCTTTCATCATTTGTTTCCTTTGAAGCAGCATGCAGAAGATGTTTAATAAATAGCCACAGATGGTGAAGGAGGCAGGTCCCAGGGCCTGGGAACATCAGGTTTCAGGGAGTTTGGGCAGCCTCCCTCTCCCCCCACTTCCCTACCCCCAGGGCAGGGCTCCAACACAGGCTATGCATGCTAGATCCCCCTCAGAAGCAAGGATGGGAGCTGTCCTCCCCATTCCCCAGGGCTACGCCAGGAGGGCCACCCTCTCAAGGTAGGCTTCCCTCCAAGAACTTCCTCTTCCCACTGACCTCATTTCAGGTGGTTTGCCCGAGTATTTACTCTCATTTTTCATGGTTAAGCTTAACTCTTCCTTAAATTTACAGTGCATCCCATGAAGTCTTGATCAGCGGTAAGGGAGGGCAGGGGGGTAAGCCCAAATGTCAGTGGGAGTTCTAGCTTTGTGTTTAACCAGTCAGCTGAGCAGACGTACAACAACAATTCACCCTTCTTCTCGGGGTCGGGTCGGTCTGGGCACTGAGCCCAGTGGGGTAGCCACCAGCAAGGACAGAGCTTGCAGCCAGAAAACTATTCCATCACCACCAACAGGGAGCACAGTGGGGCAGCAGCTAACTAAAGATCCACAGTGAATACAACGTAGTTAGAAAAAAGAATTAGAAGCTCTTTACCAGCCAATTTGGAAGGAACGTCAAAACGTACCTTGAAGTGAAAAGGCGGCATGAAGAGAACGTGTATACACATGCACACATAGACTGGGGACCAGCTCAGGCACAGGGGTAGGAGCCTGTTTTCTTTTTCTTTCTTTCTTTTTTTTTTTTCTGTTTTTGGCTGGGGTTGGGTTTGAACCTGCTACCTCCAGCATATGGGGCCGGCGCCCTACCCCTTTGAGCCACAGGCACCACCCGGTGCCTGTTTTCAATACCTGCTCCTTGGTATCTTTTTAATTTTGTACTATTTGAATGCTTTATTTACATATAGAAAAAAACATAATAAATAACACTGATTATGATGAGGAACCCTCCTCCCTAGCAAAGCTCTTGGCACAGTTATTATTACCCAGTTGATGTATTTGTCTCAACCACAGGCCCTGTAGCCACAAGGAGAATCTGCAATGACACTGATTTCTGAAATCAGTTTTACATGGCAAAGTCATAAACTTAGTATATGACAAAGGTCGTTTCAAAACTATCGTGAAAGGATGAATTATTAGGACAAAAACGATTGGTGTTTGGTCCACTGGCTCTTTTGAGGCGGAAAAAATCAAGTTAGATCTTTGTCTTGTACCTAGGAAAAATAGATTACAGATGACATTAAGAGTTGAGAGAAACATAGTTATATAAGTACTAAAAGAAAATAAGAAAACAGAGCACACTATTTTTATGGTCTTGGGGTGGGGAAGGCCTTCCTAGTCAAGATAGAAAGATTCAATTACACAAAAATCCCAGTCAATTCTCTGGACTATCCATGAAATGTTCCTATAAATCCAAATCTATTCTGAAATTTAAAATCTATTGAAAAAGTTAAAAAAAATCTGGCTCACTGAAAGATATAACACATAAAGACTTAAAAAAGACAATTTACAACCTTAGGAGAAAATCTGCTGTGATGTATATAATGAGCAACATATAGATCAATATAGTTAATAAGAAGATAAATTAACCTGATAGAAAAGTGGGTAAGAAATATAAAAATATACAATTTATGGTAAGAGAAACATAAAAGACCAATAAATACATGAAAAACCTCAATTTCACTGGCAATCAGGGAAATGAAAATTATAATAGAATCACTATTTTCCACTTGCTAGATTAACTAATACAAAACTGAGAATATGTAGTGTTAATGAGAATGTGGATAAACAGGCATCTTTATATTCATTCAGTTGTATTAATAGGTTTAGCTTTTTTATGGAGATGAAATTTTACATGTATATATATATTTTTTCTTTTTATTAAATCATAGCTGAGTACATTAATGCAATCACGGGGTACAATGTGCTAGTTTTACAAACAATTTGAAATGCTTTCATCAAACTGGTCAACATAGCCTTCACAGCATTTTCTTAGTTATTGTGTTAAGACATTTATATTCTATACCTACTAAATTTCACATTTTCACGTACACTTGTAAGATGCACTGTAAGTGTGGTCCTACCAGTTACTCTCCCTCCACCCATACATGTATATATATATATATATTTTTTTTTTTTTTTTTTGGAGACAGAGCCTCAAGCTGTCCCCCTGGGTAGAGTGTCATGGCATCACAGCTCACAGCAACCTCCAACTCCTGGGCTCAAGCGAGTCTCTTGCCT